TCGACGACACCAGGAAGTGGAGGGAGAGGTACATAGTGGTGAGAGCCAACTACTGCCTGGAGTGTCACGAGAGCCTGGAGGTGAGCGCCACGCCCAAACTCCTCATCACGAAAACAATACAAGAGGGGTTAGTACAGTTTGTTTTCATCCTCCTCCTCCTCCTCCTCCTCCTCCCCCTCCCCTCAGACGTTTGTGAAAGGAGTTCCTCCGCGACACAAACTGCTGCCCACAGGGGGCACTGTTCTCACCACACAGGAGAAGTACATGGCTATGGTGGACAAGTGTTTTCCTGACGAGACCAGTGAGTAAGAATTAAGTGTTTTTATTAATAAATGTTTCCCCAAGCAATACAGCAAGAGTTTGTTATCATGGTGCAGCAGTGAGGGATGATGGGAGTTGTAGTCTTCTCCTCAGTGTTGATGGTTCAGGAGGTTTTTATCTGGATTCTCCTCAGACGTCTCCTCCTCCAAAACCAACAGCAGCTGATTCACTGCAGTAAAAACAGTGAATGAAGCAGCTTCATGTTAAACTCACAGTTTCTCTGAGGAGTCGAGCTGCTGCTAACGTTCGCTCAGCTCGTTTCTGTGAAAACTTCAGATCCAGACGTCCGACGACTAAAATCCTTCATCAGCTTCAAACGCAGAGTTAAAACCACCAAGATCTAAAAAGTGCATCATAAAAATGTGACCTCAAACTGGATAAAAAGTATTTTGATTTGTCCGAGCTTCTCTTCTTCAGACTCCTCTGGATATTACGTCACCTGACCAGTTGTGTGTCGTAAGAGCTTTGTGTGTTTTTGTGCTTCAGTTGTGAACGAGGACTTTGCTCCGCCTCTGTCGGGGATGCCGGGTCAGTTTCCGGTTTACCTGCGTCTGCCGTACAGGAGAGACTCGTACTTCTGCTTCAAACAGCAGGTGAAACAGGACGCCTTCCTGTCCATCCTGTCCGACTGCATCAGACACCAGAACCAAGGTAAGACGCAGCAAATCCTCAGACGCAGACAAACACATGTTGGAGGTAAAAATAGATTTTCACTTTAAACCGTCCCAACGGTTTCAAACCTCAGTTCCGTCCTTGTTAATGAGGAAACTCTGGGGCTTCCTGCAGGGAATTCACATTTCACAAGATCACAAGTTGATTTGCAGTTTCAACAGTTACCACGGCAACAGGCTCTGAGGGAAGGACCTCGGATGCAGCAGAGCGAAGCTTTCACGCTTAAACTCAGCAGAAAGATGTGACGTCACGGCTCTGCTGGTTCGACTGTGACTGACCTGATTCTCGTGTCTTCCCTCGCTGTCAGACTTCCTGAAGAAGAGGACGTGCGAGGTTCAGGCCTTCCTCAAAGCCATCCAGCTCTACAGACAGGACAAGGGCAGATATGAGGCGTGGGACATGCTGATAGGAAGTGATGTCAGGGTACGTACGATTTACACAGGGTCTGAAGGAACAATTAAAAAGTCTTAAACATGTTAAAACATTCGGAACCAGTTCTACATAAGTTCACGTCTTTGTCCTCTCTCTCTCTCTTCACCCTCCGCTGCCTCTGCTCTCGTTTCGTTCCCTGATGAACTCGATCTTGGAGACGATAAAAAAATTCACGAAGCAGATGTTGAGGTTGAAGTGACGGTCGAAGCGATGGCGACGCCGCAGCTTCATCAACGCTCCTTTGTTTCGCTGCTCGCTCACATTGTTCAGAACGAGCTGGAAGGAAGTTTGTGTTGTGGAGTTAATTTGTCGGACGCTTCCTGTTGTTTCTGCTCCTAACACACGTGCAGTAAATACACATACTGATGTGCACACGCTGGTGCTCACACACACACACACACACACACACACACACACACACACACACACA